GTGAATGTCAGTGAGGAGGCCTGGGCAACCTATGGGGCCCTGAGCAGTGGATCAGTGTTTATCCCTGGAATACAAACAGACATTGTGTGTTCATAACACAAATAGGGATGCTCTCTGCCTGGACGCTTAGGGGAGTGCATGGACCCTACCCTGAGTGAAATTATAGAGTCTTGATATCCCCTATGCTGAAGGAATTGGCAATAGGGTGGGAGGATGGGGGGGAATGGTGGGGGGTGCGGGAGAAGGGGAGGGAGAGGAAACTGGGATTGACATGTAAAACAAGCTGTTTAAAATTAAAATAAAATAAAAAAATAAAAAATTAAAATAAAAAATTAAAAAAATGAAGTAGCTGACATCCTCAAAAAAAATCCATCAGTGTAACCCACCATAGAAACAAACTGAAAAAAAAATCTCATGATCATCTCACTAGACGTTAAAACCTTTGACAAAATCCAACACCACTTCATGATAAAGATCTTGGAGATATCTTCAATTTCTTTTTTTTATTTCTTCCTTTACCCAGGGATGGTGCAATTGTGCATTGTTCAATTTCCATGAGTTTGTAGGGTTTCTGTGATTTGTGTTATTGTTGAATTCTAATTTTAATGCATGATGTTCTGATTTTAAGATACAAAGGGTTTTTCCATTTTTTGTGTCACTGGAGGTTTGCTATGTTTCCTCCTATGTGTTCAATTTTAGAGAATGTTCTATCTCGTGCCGAGAAGAAGGTATATCCCTTTGTGTTTGGATGGAATGTTCTATAGATGTCTGTTAAACCCAGTTGGGTCATAACTTCTATTAGTTCTTTTGTTTCTTTAGTAAGTTTCTGTCTGGAGGTCCTGTCTAGTGGTGAGAGCGGATTGTTGAAGTCTCCTACTATTAGTGTGTGAGACTTTATGTTCGATTTGAGCTTTAGTAATGTTTCTTTCATGAATGTGAATGCCTTTGTATTTGGGGCATAGATGTTCAAAATTTAGACTTCATCTTGATGGACTTTTCCTTTGATGAATATGAAATATCCTTTATCTTTTTAAATTGAATTTAATTTGAAGTCTAGTTTGTTAGATATTAGGATTGCTACACCCGCTTGTTTCTTGGGTCCGTTTGATTGGAAAGTCTTTTCCCAACCCTTTACTCTGAGGTAATGTCTGTCTTTGATGTTGAGATGTGTTTCTTGTATGCAGAAGAAGGATGGGTTCTGTCTTTGTATCCATTCTGCTAGTCTGTGTCTTTTTATAGGCAAGTTGAGACTGTTGACCTTGAGGGATGTTAATGACCATTGATTGTTGATTCTAGTTTGTGCTTGATTTATTGGTAGTGGATTTATTTTGTGTAGGTTCTCCTCCCTTTTTCTTTTGGTGTTTGGTAAAGTGGGATTATCTATTGTCTGAGTCTTTGTGAGTGTCGTTATCTTCGCTGGGTCTATGTTTTCCTTGTAGCACTTTCTGTAGAGCTGGATTCATGGATACGTATTGTGTAAATCTGGCTTTGTCTTGGAATAATTTGTTTTCTCCATCTATGATAATTGAAAGCTTTGCTGTATATAGTAGTCTGGGCTGGCATCCTTGTTCCCTTAGCGTTTGTAGGATATCTGTCCAGGATCTTCTGGCTTTCATAGTTTCCATTGAGAAGTCAGGTCGAATTTGAATTGGTCTGCTTTTATATGTTGGCCTTTTTCTTTAGCTGCTCTTAATATTTTCTCTTTACTCTGTAGGTTTGATGTTTTGATTATTATATGGTGAGGTGACTTCTTTTTCTGGTCCAGCCTATTTGGTGTTCTGTAAGATTCTTGTATTTTCATAGGCATATCTTTCTTTAGGTTAGGGAAGTTTTCTTCTATGATTTTGTTGAATATGTTTTGTGTACTTTTGAGCTGTATTTCTTTGCCTTCTTCTATACCCATTATTCTCAGGTTTGGCTTCTTCACAGTGTCCCATATTTCTTGGATATTTTGTATTAGGGATTTGTTGGTTTTGGGATTTTCTTTGCTTGATGACTGTATATCCTCTAATGAGTCTTCAACACCTGAGATTCTCTCTTCTATCTCTTGTATTCTATTGGTGATATTTGCATCTGTAGTTCCTGATCGTTTAACCTACTTTTCTATTTCCAGCATGCCCTCATTCTGTGTTTTCTTTATTGTTTCTATTTCAGATTTTAATCCTTCAACTGTTTGAGTTGTTTCCTTCATTTGTTTGGTTGTTTTTTCTTGCTACTCTTTAGATTCTTTGAGAGATTCGTTTATTTCTTGAATTTTTTGGTTTGCCTTTTACCCCATTTCATGTATTTTTTGTTTGTTTTTTCTTCTATTTCTGTAAGGGATTTCCTTGTTTCCTCTTTGAGGGTCTTTATCATCTTCATTAAATAATTTTTAAGGTCTGTTTCCTCTGCCTTGTCTTTGTAGTGCTTTTGAGGTCTTGCTGGCGTTGATTCTCTAGATTCTGGTGGATTCATGTTGGTCTTTCTATTGCTGAGTGCACTCTTATTCTGTCTTCTTCCCATGTCTTCTTCCAGTGGGTGCAGGTGTGGTCTTTCTGTCTCCACCTCTCTCCTTCCTTCCTTCCTGAAGCTGAAGCTGAAGCTCAAGTTGGGGTCGCCAGTGGTTGGACCTGGAAGTGCTGATGCCTTTCCTCCATTGGCAGGTCCTCTGTATGCTTAGAGTAGGCCCCCAGAAGACTGAGGGGATGGGTGGTGGGTGGGGGATGGGGAATGGCCCCAGGGAGACCCAGGCTCATCTGAATCTGGGGATGCAGGAGGTCGGGGTCTGGAAGGACTGATGCCTTTCCTGTGTAGGCATATCTTCTGGATGCCAGGAGCGGGCCCTTGGAAGATTGAGGGGATGGGTGATGGGTGGAGGATGGGGAGTGGCCCCAGGGAGACCCAAGCTCACCTGAAGCTGAATCGAAGCTGGGGACACAGGAGGTTGTGGTCTGGAAGGACTGATGCCTTTCCTGTGTGGGCAGGTCCTCTGAAGCTAGGGATGCTGGAGGTTGGGGTCTTGGAGAACTGATGCCTTTCCTGCAGCTGGGGTCGCTGGAGGTTGGGGCCTGGAAGGTCTGATGCCTTTCCTGTGTGGGAAGGTCCTCTGGATGCCAGGAGCAGGCCCCTGGTAGTTTGAGGGGATGGGTGATGGGCAGGGGATTGGGAGTGACCCCAGGGTGACCCAGCCTCAACTGAAGCTGAATCTGTTGATGTAGGAGGTTGGGGCCTGGAAGGTCTGATGCCTTTCCTGTGTGGGTGGGTTCTCTGGATGCCAGGAGCGGGCCCCTGGTAGTTTGAGGGGATGGGTGATGGGCAGGGGATGGGGAGTGTCCCCAGGGTGACCCAGGCTCACCTGAAGCAGAAGCTGTTGATGTATAGGTTGCGGTCTGGAAGAACTGATGCCTTTCCTGTGTGGGTGGATCCTCTGGAGGCCAGGAGTGAGCCCCTGGAAGATTGAGGGGATGGATTATGGGCGGATGAGGAGTAGCCCTAGGCAGACCCAAGCTCACCTGAAGCTGGGGACACAGGAAGTTGGGGTCTGGCGAACTTTGAGTCTTTATAGAAAGAAATTAAAGAAGATACCAGAAAGTGGAAAAATCTCCCATTCTCTTGGATAGGTAGCATCAACACAGTAATAATAGCAATTTTGCCAAAAGCAATCTACAGATTCAATGCAATCATCATCAAAATACCACCACAATTCTTCACAGACCTTGAAAGAATAATACTCAACTTTATATGGAAAAAAGACCCAGGATAGCTCAAACAACCCTGTACAAAAACTGAACTTCCTGAGGCATCAGTATCCCTGACTTCAAGCTCTATTATAGAGTTATAGTCCTGAAAACAGCTTGGCATTGGCACAAAAATAGACAGGTAGACATAGAGAATTGAATTGAAAAGTATGATATTAACCCACACACCTACGCACACCTGATTACTGACAAAGAAGTTCAAATTATACAATTGAAAAAAGAAAGCATCTTCAACAAATGGTGTTGTCATAACTGGATGCTGGCATGCAGAAGACTGCAGAGCAGATAGAGCCTTATCTATTGTCATGCACAAAACTTAAGTTCAAATGGACCAAAGACCTCAACATAGATCCAGCCACTCTGAATCTCTTAGAAGAGAAAGTGGGAGATACCCTTCAACAAATTTACACAGGAGACTGCTTCTTTTTTTCTTAGAATTTTTAAATTTAAATTAGAAACACGAATGCCTCACATGTTGATCCCAGCTCCCTCTCCCCTCCTCCCTTGTCCCTGCACCAGGACCCAGCCCCCAACCCAATCCCCACATCATTCCCCAGGGAGGGTGAGGCCCTCCTTGGGGAATCTCCAAAGTCTGTCAGAGACTCCTTCTTGAACATAACACCAGTAGCACAGACACTGAGATCAACAATTAAAAATGGAACCCCCTGAAATTGAGAAGCTTCTGTAAGACAAAGGACACAGTCCAAAAGACAAAAGGGCAGATCACAGAATGAGAAAACTCCACTTCTGACAGATGACTGATTTCCAAAAATATGCAAAGAACTCAAGAAGCTAGTCTCCAAAATACAAAACTTTCCAATAAAACGTGGGGTATAGAACTAAATAAAGAATTGTCAATAGAGGAGTCCAAAGTGACTGATAGACACTTCAGCAAGTGCGCAACATCCTTAGCCATTCAGGGAAATACAAAGCAAAACAACTCGGATACCATCTTGTTCCTGTCAGAATGGCTAAAATAAAAAAACAGCAGTGTGATTCTTATATGCACGGTGTTATTATTACAGCAGTAAATGCACAGACCTCATAACAGGTTTACCTTTTCTTCTCCAAAGAATCTCATCTGCCAGTACCATCCCTCACTCCCAGACTCAGCTCCTGCCTTGCTGCTCCTACACTTTCTTCCTCTGCAGCATCCATTCCCTCAGAACCGAACCTCTCTCAACCACCTGCCCAGTCCAAAGCCTCTACATAAATAAACCCATCATGCACCAAGTTTTTCTAGTGACATCCACATAACCTCACCTGCTTTTGCCATTCCCACGTTTTCAGAAGACGTTTCGTGGCAACTGTTTTTACATTTCCTTGCAAGTTCTGCATGCCTTCAGCACTGTTGTGGTCTCTCTGTACTCCCAGACCTGTCTGCAGTGACTTTCATTGATCACAAGCACTTCCTGTTGAGTTCCTCTTAAGGTTGATGACCAGTGCTATTCCTTTGAGGTCTTACCTAGTCTTGAGGTTGCAGCACTGGCTTTCCTTGGTCAGTTCTCACAAAGCCAATACCACCTGGACCATCTCCATACTCCAGGGTCTAACATTCTCGTGTGCATATTTCATGGAAAGTCATGCCTGATAATGGTCATTAGAAGGTTTCCCAACACATAACCAACTTCCTTACAGATGGAATGAAGTAACATGACCAAAAGCGAATTTGGAGAAAGGGGTTTATTTCAGCTTATACTTTCCAGCTTCAGGCAAGATCTGACACTGAGTCCACAGAGTGAAGGTGGTCACTAGTTTTTTATCCATGGGAAACTAAGCTTGCTTAGTTATATAAATTATATAAGTCAATATGGTCAGAATAAGTTTCACTGGAACTCTAGTGAGCTGGGCTCTGACACATTAAACATGAATCAAGAAAATATTCCAGCTATTTTCGCAACGGGTTTGCTGTCAGAACGCAGGTGTTGCGAAAACCACCGCTAATTCAAATCCAACATGGGAAAGGAAAAGACTCACATCAACATCGCTGTCATTGGACACATAGATTCAGGCAAGTCCACCACCACCGGCCACCTGATCTAGAAATGCGGTGGAATCGACAAATGAACCATCGAAAAGTTTGAAAAGGAGGCTGCCCGAGATGGGAAAAGGATCTTTCAAGTATGCTTGGGTCTTGGACAAACTGAAAGCTGAACGTGAGCGTGGTATGACTATTGACATCTCCCTGTGGAAATTTGAGATCAGCAAATACTATGTGACGATCATTGATGCCCCAGGACACAGAGACTTTATCAAAAACATGATTACTGGCACATCTCAGGCTGACTGTGCTGTCCTGATTGTTGCTGCCGGTGTTTGTGAATTTGAGGCTGGTATCTCCAGAATGAGCAGAACCGTGAGCATGCCCTTCTGGCTTACACCCTGGGTGTGAAACAGCTAATTGTTGGTGTCAACAAAATGGATTCCACCAAGCTACCCTACAGCCAGAAGAGATATGAGGAAATTGTAAAGGAAGTCAGCACCTACATTAAGAAAATTGGCTACAACCCTGACACAATAGCATTTGTGCCAATTTCTGGTTGGAACGGTGACAACATTCTGGAGCCTAGTTCTAATATGCCTTGGTTCAAGGGATGGAAAGCCACCCATAAAGATGGTAGTGCCAGTGGTACCACACTGCTGGAAGCTTTGGATTATATCTTGCCACCAACTCGTCCCACCGACAATCCACTGTGACTGCCCCTCCAGGATGTCTATAAAATTGGTGGTATTGGGACTGTTCCTGTGGGCTGAGTGGAGACTGGTGTTTTAAAACCTGGGATGGTGCTTACCTTTGCTCTAGTCAATGTCTCAACAGAAGTAAAGTCTGTTGAAATGTACCATGAAGCTTTGAGTGAAGCCCTTCCTGGAGACAACATGGGTTTCAATATAAAGAACGTGTCTTTACAAAGACATCAGACGTGGCTGGTGACAGCAAAAATGACCCACCAATGAAAGCTGCTGGCTTCACTGCTCAGGGGATTATCCTGAACCATCCAGGTCAAATTAGTGATGGCTATGCTCCTGTACTGGATTGTCACACAGCTCACAAAGCATGAAAGTTTGCTGAGCTTAAAGAAAAGATTGATCGCCGTTCTGGTAAGAAGCTGGAGGATGGCCCTAAATTCTTGAAATCTGGTGATGCAGCCTTGTTGACATGGTTCCTGGCAAGCCCATGTGTGTTGAGAGCTTCTCTGACTATCCTCCACTGGGTCATTTTGCTGTTCGTGACATGAGGCAGACAGTTGCTGTGGGTGTCATCAAAGCTGTGGACAAGAAGGCCGCTGGAGCTGGCAAGGTCACCAAGTCTGCCCAGAAATCTCAGAAGACTAAATGAATGTTATCCCTAACACATGCCACCCCAGTCTTAATCAGTGGTGGAAGAACGGTCTCAGAAATATTTGTCTCAATTGGCCATTTAAGTTTAATAGTGAAAGACTGATAATGTTAACATTGCATCGGAAAACCTTCAGGAGGAAAGGAGAATGTTTTGTGGACCATTTTTTTTGTGTGTGGAAGTTTTAAGTTATTAATTTTCAAGATCAGTACATTTTAATGGAAACAAGTTTAATGAGAAAAAAAGAAAAGGTTCCACATTCTTTCCTGGAGGCCAATGGGATAAAAGTGATTTCTCAGCTAATGTTCCCTCCCTCCAGATGACTCTCGTTTTTGTCAAGTTGGCAAATTATCAATCAACACCACTGACTACTTACCCATTTCACATAAATACTTCACTAATAAGCCATATGTTTCCTTTTTTGATTATCTTCCAGGTTTCTAACTTGCGATACTTAAAATTACATAGTTTTATTGTGCTGAGTTTAGGGAGCTATCTGAACATGGTGATCTGTAGCCTTAAATGCACTGTACTCCAACACCTGTTTCAAAAGTAAATGTGACAAATGCCAAGTGGAATAAGGTTTGTAAGGAAGTTGACACCTAAACAAAGAAAAATGACTGCAGTTCTGTCTGGAAACCCTTAGGTACTCAGGTCTAATGAGGGCACATCTGAACTTCTCTTTATATTACTAATTAAAAATTTTCATTAAATTTATACCCTGACCACAGTTTCCCCTCCATCCTTTTTTCCCTTACCTACCTCCACCACGTCCCCCTACTGAACCCTCCACTCCTCAGTCTGCTTTCATCAAGTTGAGGCACGACCAAGCTACTCCTGCTGCTCCAAGGCTGGGCCTAGACAACCCAGCATGGGGAATAGATTCCAAAAAGCCAGAGCTGAACTTCTTTAATGTTTCCTCTGTGGGCAATGTGTACTGTTTTCATGTAGTAGTAAGGCTATGTTGTACAGTGGGCTGTGGGTGTCTTCTGTTTTTCTGTGTATGAATATCACAAATAACTACACATTTCCTGTGTGTTCTGGTGGGACAAGTGGTATGTACATCATATGACAGCCTATGTCACTCACATTTTTAAAAATTCATTTTCTTTTCTTTTACTCTTATTAATTTCACATCATGCAGTCTAATCCCATTTATCTCCCTTTCCCCTCTAAACTGCCCTCTGCCTTTGGAACCTCCCCTTAAAAGCAAAACCAAATTGAAAAGAAAAACCAATAACAAAATAAAACGAAGAAACACAACAAAACAACAAGAAAAGCAAACAAACACACAAAACGAAAGAAAGAAGAAAAGAAGAAAAGAAATCTTGTGGAAACTATAATGTGTCCAGTTGAGACACACATTTTACCCTTTAGTGTAGTCATCTTTGCTTGCAAGTGTTCATTTCCACGAGTCAGTGGTCTGGTTTGAAGTTTCTGGTTTCTGCTCTACACTATTGATTATGAGCTCTCACTGGGACACTTCTTGGATATCCTGTTGTTGCTCTCCGTTATCGAGATCCTGTAGCTTTGGATCTGCAGGATCTGCCCTTTCACATGCTCCAACATTACACACATTCAGTGGATGTTGGGGTGTGCCAACTCATAGCCCTGGTTCTGGGCCTGGGTGGTAGTTGGGTTGGTTATCTCATGAGCCGTCCCTCATAGTCTCTACCTGGATGAGCTCTCCGGCACTGCATATGCTAGCTTACCCAATGCAGCCTGCAGCAAGGAGTAGGGCGAGTTCCCCTGCTCTCGGTTCCTCAGATCCAGGTCTGCCTCACTCATATCACCAGGGCCAGCTCTATTGTTTTGCCCAGGAAAGGTGAAGGTGAAGGGCTCTCTCCTCATGAGGGAGGGACAGCTCTCCTACTCTTACGTCCTCAGGGCTGGATCACCGCAAACCCTGATAACAGTGTCAGCTCTGGTATGCTGCCCAGGTAAAGTGCAGGGCCCACTCTCCTGTGTGCTGTAGCTGGTATAAACCTACTCTCTTGTGTGCTGTAGCTGGTATAAACCTACTCTTTTGTGTGAAGTAGCTGGTAGAGGTCAAGGCTAGCTAGTTCTGTCTGTCTCATGGCTCTGGGGCCAGCTCTTTCACTTGCCACAGATAGCAAAGGACAGATGGGGGCCTCTTTACCTCACAAATGTCAGCTCTTTTGTTCTCCAACACTCAGGGCTGACTCACCTGTGATCCAACAACAGAGTGAGCTCTAGTGTGTTGCCCAGACAGAAAGTGGGGGCTACTGCTGCCTGTGAGGGTCAGCTCTCTCAACTGCCCCAGGTAGTAATGATGATTGGGGGGAGGGCATCTTTCCCTCATCCATGTCACCATATGGCCAACAGGAGGCGATCTAAACATTAGCATTTCCTGTTCTCATGTACACTCAGTTCACCTGCATCCCTCGCTACAGTGAAGCTCTAGTGTGCTTCCCATGTGAGGTGCATGCCTATGGTGAGAGTGGGGTCATCTTTCCTAGTTGTAGGGGAAAGCTCTCCCCTGAAGGGTAGGGCCAACTTACCTGCTGCAATATCCTATGAAGGGCAGGAAAAGTCATCCCAGGTTCAGTGAATGCATGGCTGGCTTAGCACACCATGTTTCCAATGAACTCCACGCTAACATGGGTCATGGACATCACCACAGACCACAGATGCAGAAGGACCATGGACCCAGACATGGTCCTCATAAGCAGCCTGGGCATGGACGCTACAATGGCCCTGGTGGCAGCATATGCCCCTCATACCAGCCTGTCCCTATCTGCAGCATGGTCTCCCAAGTATCAACATAGTCCCAGGAGGCTGACCAGATTCCAGATATCTGCAGAACCCTTGGTGATAACTGAAACCATGGACATCATCCCAAACCCTGGCCTTCAGACATGGCTCTAGGAAGCAGCTTGTGCCTGGATGCATTTTTGGCTCCAAGTGGCAGTGCAGACCTCCCAAATCAGCATGTTCTTGAGTGTAGCACAGTCCTAGGACACCAACATGCACATTTCTA